ACATTACGTTTCTACATTATTGATTTTTACTAAAATTGATTTTGACTAAAAAAGTTAAATAATTGTAATTTTTTAATTATCAGTAATTCAATAATTAAATCATTAAATATATTTTGTATTTAGAAAATTTTAATTACATATTACAAATATTTATTGAAGAATATATTATGTCATTTTTACATGTATTTCGTTAAATTCCTGCGTTATCAAACTATTTGTCGAAATCGAATCATCATAAATCAACATTTAATACGAACGAGACTATAATAAAATGCATCTACATAAAATTATTTGTGATAAACTGGATAATTTAAAGATAAACTATAACAGTAGACAACTAACCGCGTGCAATAGTAGTATAGTAATACTACAGAATACACATATAGCGTAAGGTTCTATCGGTTCTAGAGCCGCTACTGGGTAAAAGAAGATAGAAAAATTAAATAAATTACTAGAAATAAATTACTAGAAGAGGATTAGAATCAGAGGTCAGTTATCGGGAATATTTCTAGTCAACCAAGGCCAAGGCTGGCATGGCAACGAGATCGGAATGTTCGGGTATCATTCGCGCTGCATTTAACATTGTAGAAGAATTAAATGCTATGCCGGTGGTATCGTCGAACCGGTCTACCGAGTCACTTTGTACTTGTTAGGTTTTAATAATACCTGCCTTTCGCTATAGTCGACTATAGGCCTCGTCCTCTCCTCAGTCTCGTGATGCTCAGGAGCTAGGACCGTGCTTTTCGAAGTGCACCGCGTGCGTTTCTTCCACGAGGACGTCGAAGATACCGAATAAAATTCGCGACATTCAGTGTTCACGCTCTAGTTAATAATAGCGCTCACTAAATGTGAGCGGCGAGAAGTTTCATCTCAAGTATAAATAAAGTGTAAACATGCTTCGATAGTACTGGAAGAATTGTGATATATTACGCGACATGACAATAAAAATCGTCAATCGGATTATCCATATAATTTTCTATACTTTTAAACACTCACTATTTAGGGTACACTTTTAATATTATTTACTAAATTAATTTATTATTATTGTAGCATATTTTTTGGATAATAAATTTAATCGGTATTTCCATTTTGTAAGGCGTAATGACTAAATGACTATATAATTTTATATTTAATTTCATTTTTAATAACTTAAGCAATGAGTAAACAATGAAAACTTGTGATGTAATTGCAATTAAATATTATCGATTTATTTCTTCAGTGGTAGCGGAAGCACCGACGGTGCGGAAGGCGGAAACAGCGAAAAATTATCTCCTAGCAAGCTTTCGGAACTTACTTCACCCAGTCCAGGACCGTCGAATAATTCTTATAGTTTACTTCAAAATGATAACGTAAGTACAAAATAAAAACTATTTTACGTTTAAGTTAAACTTCAATTTATGTCTCAATTCACTTTAAGATACTTTATTTTAAGCTATACAAACGTCCATGAAATGTTAAAGTCCCTTTCCAAAAAACTTATATTTCAATACACATTAATGTCCAAAAATATTTTATCACTCACTCATACATAGTACT